TAATCTATACAAAGTTACAATGTTTCTTTCTTTTTATGTACAAATAGAACAGTTGTATCAAAAGAATACATATATGCTTGGACAGATAAATCCTTTTTCAGTTAAATCAATTAATTGTTTTTTAACTTATTCATCTCCAAATAAGATAAGTGATATATAGGTTGGAATGGAGATTCAGTATCTGGAATTAATTTAATGGCATAATCTATTCTTCTTTTTAATGACAATTGTTTTGGCAAGTCATCTGGAAATATATCTTAAAATTCTTGCATAATGATTTGTTCTTTTGCTATTTTATTAATATCTTTGAACTTAAGTTCTTCTGGAATAGTACAGACAGCAAATAATTTATCAGTAGATAATACTCTGGCTAGTTGATGTCTTGAGATAATTATAGAATAGCATTCAGAATTCTGATTGGTCCTATTAGAACTTGCTTTAATCTTGATGTTGTACTTCCTATACTAAAAAGATAAGGTATTAGTTCTTTAGTCAATGTTGAGGTTGGCATGATATAACTAGGATTTTCCAAGTATAGTATCATATCTTTGCAAGTTAAAAACTTGTACAGTAATTTTAATGGTTTGGTAGGTATCTAATTTCAACTTGTTAATCATAACTTTATTAATAACTTTTTTCTTTCTTCCACTAGTCAACTCACTAGTGAAAGATGTAGTATCTTCTTTTTGCAGTTAGTGGTATATTACAAACTTTTTATTGATAAAGTTTTTTGAGGCTCCATTATCTAAGAGAATCCAAGCAAGGTAACTATTAATTTTTTTATTAAAGCATAGCAGTTGCTCTTTGTTTTCTTCAATATAAACAAATTTAGTACTGGAGAAGGAGACTTGTTCTTTTATAACAGATATCTTGGTTTTGGATTTTTCTTTGTATTCTTTTGCCATATATCCTTTTTTTTATAGTTTTAATATATGATTTGTTTTTCTTGTTTTAAAAAGTTTCTTTTCTTTTCTGCTTCAGCTTGATTTAATTCTATTGAAATCAGTTCATTGCGATTCTTGAAGGTCTTTTTAAAGGTTAAGAATCCTGAGGGATGGCTTTTTATCTTTGGTTTTCCTAATCCAAATATTATAGTATTATAGCAGATTGCTAGTTTCACAATATCATTCAATATTTCAGGGCTTAATAGCTTATTTCTATTCTTGTTACAGGCTTTAATTTATCAATATAGTAGGTAATTTGGTCCAAAGCTTCCATATTATCAATTTGGCAAATCAGATTTCTAAATTGAAAACTATATTTTTGGACAGTTTCTACTTGATGCAAGGTTTTGAGCTAAATTTGGAGATATTGTTGATAGTATAGAAGTTGGAAGGCGTCTTTAAGTTCTTTTTTAAATTGATCCCAAGAGATAAATGCAGGATCTGTCGAATTCTTGATCTTATTGACAAATCAATAAAAAGCAGCATCTCCAAATCCAGTAGCAGTATAATGAATTATCTTTCCTTCATTTGTTACTTCTTGAGTATATAGGATATTTTTTGTTTAACACATCCAAACTTTAACATTTTCTCTTGGTTCTTCTTTAAATATAGGAATTTTAAAAGATATCTTTGGAAAAAAAGTGATAGAAGTAGAAGAAGAAGAAGGAGAACTTGATAATATAATCTTTTCTTTTTCAATAGCAAGGGTTTTTAAAGTTTCCTGAAAATTTTTTATAAAAGTAGCAAATTGAGTGATATTTATTTTGGCAGAGTTTCTCTTAAGATATATATATTTAGATATAGGTATAGGTGTAGAGAATATTCTTTAAATCTGCTGCCATCAAGTTATAAAATCTTATAAAATTATAAGTAATTTCAATTAGACAATAAACTTAGAAATGAAATATTTATTGAACTCAAACAAAAAGTTAAGTTTATTCAAGTTAAAAGTTTATTCTTTTTATATATTTTGAGTCAACATGAAAAGTACTTATAAAAGAAAAAATAGAAATAGAAAATAAAGAAGTAAATAAAGTAAATAAAGTAAACATATAAATAATAGAACATGACTATGGCTAAGTTTATCTAAATATAGTAATATTATTTTATAGTCATTTTATAGTTACTTCAAATTAGGAAATATATATGAATGACTATGGGATTGTATTGTCAGAAATTAATATTGTGTAATTTATATGTGGCTGATTAGGGTGCTTAGACTGATCAGGAGAATTTGAATTATTAAGCTGATCAGGTTGTATGGCATATAATCTAAAATTGTTACATATATAATTTAGTAAATATAAGAGCAATAGATAATTTAATTTATATAATTTTAAGATTTGATAAAAGTAATAAATATTTATTTTAATATTACTTTAAAGATTTTTAAAATAAAAATTTCTGGAGTTTTTATTATTAAAATTTTTATATTAAAAATTTTCTGATTATAGAGAATGTTTATATATAGAAATTGTAAATATTTTAAGAATACACAATAAAAATCTGTATTTAATACCATTCTACTTTTAAAAAAATAAAAAAATATTTTGATTATTTAAAAAAATAAATAAAAAGCAATTTTTTAATTAAAAAATTTCAAACATTATAAAAAAAATATCTTACAATTTAAGAAATATTTGTATTATAGGTAGCTTAAAAAGTCCATTGATAAAAATTGATAGACAACAAAAAGCAATTAATTATATTAATATTCTTAATAATTATTTATTATTATATTTAGAAAGTTTTAATACTCAAAATAGTTATTTATTTCAAGACAATAATTGCTTAATTTATTAAGCAAAAAATATAAAAAATAAGTTGAGAAAAAAAATACCTCTTGTTTTTATAACCTGTATAGAACCCTGACCTTAATTTCATTGAATATATCTGGGATGAATTAGAATACCAGATTCATAAATGTAATCTCCTGCCAATTAATAAACCAGAACTATTTAAATTTTTGCAAGAAAAGTGATTAAAAATAAATAGTCTTATTTATCATAATCTTGTAATGTATATGCCTCATTGGGTTGAGGCTATTAAAAAATTTAAAGAAAATCTTACAAATATAAATATATTTTAGAAAAATTTTTTTAAATAAAAATTACCATAGTTTTTGCAAATTTGCTGAAAAAAAAAATTCTTATCTGTTCACCGATTATCATCAAATTTGCACCATAATTTATGTCATGGGCATGTACATCAATTAAACTGTATTGTATTCTTTACTTAAAAAATGATTACAGACTGTAAGTATATTTTTGTTAATATTCATTAATAAATTTATATTAAAGGTTTAGTTAAACTGAGTTTTATTCTTTAAGAATTACAAACAATAAAAAATAATTTCTTTAATATTTGTTAAGTAAAAATGTCTAATTTATTGAGGCTGTATTCTATATTTTAAAAAGAACCAGGTAAATAGGAACCATTTAAATTCTGAAGGACTATTACTAACACATGCAACAACATCTCCTATTTATACATTTTTTGATTCCCTCTTCATCCTCTATCGCTTAGATCAGCACATACGGTAAATACACGATCGTATAGTTTCCCATACTCATCACACTACCATAACTATCGATCGCTATTATGCTAAAGATTTTGCCATGATACAAAAATACACCATGTAATTATAACCCAAAAATCCAACTCCTAATTGTCCGAAGGACATTAATTGCATTAACTGTAAATGAGTTATACTGTATAACAAAAAACTCCGTTAAATTGATATGCCGCTATTACTTACGTATCACATGATCGAAAGGTATATATATCCAGACCACTTAACAGTATTGCTGTACATTAGAGTGTCCTTTTGTTGAGTGAATTCATATAAGTGGTTTAATTAATCTGAATTATATTCTTTACTTTTAATATTGGTTTGGTAATTCATATCAAAGGTGTATTGATTGAACCGCATTATACTCTTTACTTTAAAAACGATTACAGATGTGAGAATATTTTTATTAATATTTGTTAAGCAATTTATATTAGAGGTGTTAATTAAACCGAATTATATTTTTTACATTAACTATGATTACAGATGGTAAATATTTTTGTTAATATTTGTTGAATAGTTCATATCAAAGGTGTCTTGATTTATTGGTGCTATATTATTTATTTTAAAATTAATTACAGGAGGTAAGCATATACAGTATTTATTAATATTTGTTAATTATAGATGTCAATTGAACTGAGTTATACTCTTTACTTTAAAAATGATTAAAAACGACGAGAATATTTTATTAATATTTGTTGAATATTTTATATCAAAAGTATCTTAATTAATCAGAGCTATATTTTTTAATTTAAAAACGATTCCACGTGGTGAAAATATTTTCACTAATATTTGTTGAGTAATTCATATTTAAGACGCCTTGATTGAGCTGAATTATATTCTTTAACAATGATTGTAGACGGTAAATATATTTTCGTTAAATATTTGTCGAGTAATTCCTATTAAAGGTGTTAATTAACTGAGTTATATTTACTTTAACAACAATTACGACGATAAAATATTTTTGTTAATATCCGTATATTAAAAAGCATCTTAAAAGAACTGAGTTATATTCTTTACTTTAACAACAATTACATATGGTAAGTATATTTTCGTTTTAATTAATCTATTAAATAAAACTTTTATAAAATAAACTTAAAGCTTATTTAAATAGTAAAAAAATTAAATTAAATTTATAAATCTAAATATTCTTTATTTTTAGGAAGCATATTTTCATTAATATTTATTGAGTCAATACACCAATGTGACAAAGAAATATCATATCAACACCAAGGATTTTGTCATAATTTCAAAGAATTATATCACTTGTATCGAAATTGTGACAAATTTTTTATACTCTGAGTTATTACAGTAAACTGCCTGCGATTTAAAACAAATTTGCGTGATATAATTATATACGAATAAGTACTTAGACATTAACATTTATTTTGTAACTATCCCATAAAAACCAGTAAGAAAATTTATTTTTTCGAATAAGAATTATTAACTGCTAAGTTAATGCATAAAAATAAGACATGGCTTCCTAATCAGGTAATGTTTAAAATTGGAATTTGAACTTTTTGAGGGGATGAGTTCGATTCTCTATGGTATGACTGACCGGTGGGAGTAAACGGTTTATTTAATTCATCAATGGAATGATCGATACTTTTCTAATTAATAAAAATAGTTGGTTATATATGTGGTTTTAAAATTTTTTGATGTTATCAATCGACTTACCAGTAAACTATATAGACTTGCCATAACTGGAGCGATGGTCGAAAAATTAGCAACTTCTGTAGGCAATAACACTATTCCAATTTGCTTAATACGATATAACCCATCAAAAGCTATATCCATACTAAACAATCTAATACAACTCCCTATTGAATTTATATTTCATTATATTAGATATTATTTAGAGTATAATTATAATGATAGTAACCTACCATCAATAATAATCCCAAACGTTTCCGAAGTTGGAGAATAACCATATCGTTTATGAAAATAATCCAATGATTCCTTCATAAATTCTGCAAGTTTTATCAATGCTTGATTTACTACATTATTGGAAGCGCTCGGAGGTTTTATTTCCCTAGATGTAACTTCAACCCGGAAATCTGGTTTCCTCCCATGTTTGTTATCATTAGATTTTCGTCGTTCCTTCGAACTAATAGACTCGCCATTAACCCTAATTCATTAAGTTAAAAAATAAGTATTCATGTATTTAAATAACTAGTACTATTGAAATTTCACTTACCATAAAAATTTAAGATGGTTCATTTCAAACACTTCCTCGAACATTAAGTGGCAATATCTGTGAACAAAAGTGTTTTCATCCATATCATTTTTGGTGCTACCTGACGGTAAATTTAAAAAACTGCAAATCAAATGTATCATTAATATAATAATATGACAAATAGTATAATTTTTTAAATTTAAGAACTCACAAATTCCTTGTCACGATTTGAACACAATCAAACATACTCTTTTCTTCTTTTGTCATCGATGGATCCCATTTGGACCAATTTTGATGCCATTTGATATTCAACTCATTTTTATTCATTAAAAGCTAAATACAAGTAAAAATAAATCGTTAACTGTTAACCATAATATTTAGATAGAAATATAAAAGACTTACCGTACTATATTCCTTGATAATTAATTGTACAATTTTTGGTAAAGATGCTGAGGTTAAAGATTTAGGTAACATAAATTTAGGCTTATCCTCTTTTATATATATAATTGAAGAAAGACACCTGAAATAATATACAAAAATTAAAACATTTGAAGAAATCGATCTACTTCGCGTGACAGATACTTACAAAATCTCATCAACATCAGTCGCGTAGGAAAGTGTTGGTTTGTTTTTTAATTGTTCAATTGTTTTCATTTGAAATTCTCGAAAATCTCTAGAAATATTATAACCGCATTCCAACCGCTATAAATAAAAAATAGTGATTAATGAAAACTTAATTAACAACGTGCCTCCAAGAAAAGATCGTCTTTAGCTCATAAATTGACCTTCACGAACTTGCCTAGTTGTAATTGATTATTTTTTAAAAAATATATTTACCTTTTCCACTTTTTCTGTAGTAATTTCTTCGGCGAATTGCTCGACATCTACAGTCACAATTTTTTCGCTTACATCATCGGAGTTTATAGACATTTGTTGCATATTCACAAAGGAAACACGATCAGTGCAAATGTCCTTAGCAACATTTGTCTTATCCTGCGAAAAAATAATGCCAATATTGCGATGCAGGTTAGATACGAGCTTACACACATAAAATAAATAAAAAGAAAAAACATTACTGGAGAGGCTTTATTTAATGTATCGTCAACATAAATTGGATATTCATCATAATCATCGAGAGAAATATTCTCATTGTTATGGGAAAGGCGATTACGAAGGTTAGGTGGAGGTCTAATAATGAAAGTTTCTTCGGCTGGTCGTTTCCTTTCATTCTTTGGATTCACATTCAATCATGAATTATATACACAACATTAATTAGAATATCATAACTTTGGAAAATGAAATAACATTTTTGTAAGATAGACTCAGGATATCAATACAAAGCAGCACCTACTACCTCTTGTCTTTTTTGAATAATGATATTCCAAAAACGACAAACATATACTCCGTTACCTTCTACCTATTATCAATACAATATGTATAAGTTAACAAGTTTGTCACTGCTTTCAGAATCTTTTTTCACGAGAACTTAATAAAGTCGCCTTCCAAAGTTTTATCCCTTCTTTTGTTTAACTATAAGACTCACCTTAAATTTTCTGAGGCAACGCTGTGCGTTTTCCTTTTCAACTGTGGTGAAGTTATCGCACGACTGCACGGCTATCAAACTCATTTTATATCTATAATGTTCCTTATCTTTCATCCCTGAGAAGTCACCTTGTCCTTTGCGATACTCGAGAAATCCTGGAAGTGACCAACTATCCGAAGAAATCTGAGTCATATAGTTATCCAAGAGAGCCATAGTGAGTGAAAAAATGTGTAAAATGTGTCAAACGCGTTTCGCGTTCTATTTTATGGCAGATCAATAAAAAAATAATGATCAATCACGTGTATCATGATGGACAGGGTTGGCATTCTTGCGTCACCCTTGCGTAGGGCTGTTGTTTATCAAATGCATAGCATGACGTAATAAATAAATATTTTAGCGCGCACGAAAATATAATTTTTTAACTTGGACGGTAAGTAATTAAAGCTAACTTTTTATTTATAATAGAATATCGGCTTCCACTCGGCTTTTCAAATATATTGATGTTCTTGTTGTCTCTTCAAAAAGGCCGTTTCTTTTAAGACTAAGAGTATGTTTTGCTATAGAAAAAACACATTTACAAGGAACACTTGTGACTTGCAATGTAAAGTAATCTGCAGCCATGCAAGTTATCATTGAAAATCGGAGAGCATTAGTTTTTCACCACAATAATAAATCTATGTTGGTTCTGGAGGTAAGGAAAGGTATGTGGTTAATTTGTTCATGGTTTTATTTTATTTTATTTTTATTTAATTGCACTAATTTTCAAAAAATTTCTAGCATATCTTATTATTTATATGGTATATTAAATAAGAAATCTTTAAAAGATTAGTAGTCATATTGTGATTCTCTTTATCAAAAGTTTCAAATTTGGTTAATAGATCAATAAAGGTGGAAATAGTTGATGTTTGTAAAAAATAAGTTCAATATTTTGTTAACTTGTTCTGTACTATTTTACAATATATATTAATATTTGAAATATAATTAAGATATATAAAAAGTTTTTTAATAATTAATCATAATGATTCTTGAGTAAGTAATAAAAAATTAATAAAACCAATATTGCTTTGTAAAAAATTAAATTATATCATTGATTGTTTTCGAATTGTTTAGATTTAAATAAAATTCTTTTAATTCAAAATGAGATTGCATAAGATTATCAATATTATTTTGGATTTCAATAAGTCATTTAAGCATAAAATAGGTAAAATTTCATTTAGTTTCAATATCAAGTATAAAATAAAAAAATAAATAATTTAAATTAACTGAAATTTTTTTATATCTTTTAAAAATAAGAATAAGTTTTATATTTTGTTATAAAACAGACCTGTGGATCTACAGTGTATAGTGTAGTGATTAATACTCCACAGGTCAAATCACAAGATATCAATTCAACCCTATGTGAGGGCAGTTAAATAGAATTAATATAGTATCTGGCACCATAACCTGTATAAGTGCTGTTTCTCATAAGAAACTGTTTTATATGCTGATTCAGTAGGCGTTAAGATTGTAATTTCCAGAAAAGGTATCATGGCGCGAAAATCGTTCAGTTGGTGTTATGATAATCACTGGAAGTTGTAAGGTATATAAGGTGACCGCTTTCAGTAAAGATGATTTGGTGATCGTTTTCCTGTGGTACCTGGTATTTCTTCCTGCAAGTTTTCAGAAAGGCCTTATTCCAATCCAGTAATAGATCACTCCGACAGTTACCTATTCCGAGAAGGCAGCCAAAACAGCAATAAGTATCAATAGCTAAAACAATCTATGAACTGCAAGTCTGTAAGATAAGTTCCTTGAATGTTCTTGGATAGTTCTAGGAAGGTGGAAATTAAATGGTACACCTATTTACAAGTGATCAAGTTTAGAAGGATTCTCTCTGCAGTAGTTCTATTCATTAAAAATATGTATTATCTCCAGTTCCCTCACATTCAAACTTCCCCTTAAAAATTCCACAATGCCAAATAGAACATAACAATATAATAATAACATTAATGAGACTTTGACACATTAGCCTCAGCACAACCCCTCTGAAATGACACTAACAGCAACAAGCTGATATAAAGTAAAATTGATATAGTCTATTGATGTATAGAATTGTTCATAGATAGTAGTTCCTGTAATATATGAAATATATATGTAAATAAAATAATAAAGTATACTAGGCAAGGCCCAGCTAGTTAAACACAATATATATATATATATATATTGTTATAAAATTGATATGTTTTTTTTATTTGACTAATATATTTTTGTTAATTTGCTTTTATTACAAAATTTAAAATATGTATTGTATATTATACATATATAAAATCAATATTTATAAATCTTTAATAATATTATAAACAGTTTTGGTTATTTGTTGTATTGTTTTATTATAAAATTAATTAATTTATTTTTGATTTCTAAATTTTTTACAAGTTTCAAAATTATATAAAGAAATAAGATCAATAAGAAAAATTTTGATTAACTATTTAAAATCAATTCAATAAACAATAATTATAAGAAAATAATATATACAGTATATGCAATTTAAACATCTATAATAAGTATCAATTTAATAAAAAAATTTTAAAATATCATATTTTATTTTTAACCAATTTAAATTGCTTTTTGAAAATTATAAAGAATATTTAACAGTAAAAGATTTTATAATATAAATTATAATTATTAAAAAGCTTAATCAATAAAACTTTTTGAGAAAATTTGTTTTTGTAAATCTTTATTTAAGAATTTTATTCAATTTATTTTAATTTTTTTAACTATTAAATATAAAAAAAAATAAGCAACTGTTATGTTTCATTCAAGATTTAAAAGATATGTAAATATTTGTTCTTAAAATAACAAGTTATTATTGATAATAACATATTTATTTTCTATTTATTACTAAAAAACCCACAATTACAAGAACTATTTTTAAATATATTAAAATAATTATAAATAAAAACAGATTTCAATTTATTTTTTGTTTTTTTATATTATAAATATTACTAATATTTTTTTCTGTTAAATTATTATTACTTTCAATAAAACTTTATATATTTTCAAAAAAAATATTAGTATTAAATAAATATTTAATTATTAAACTAATAAATTTTTAAAAGATATTATAAGTATAGATACAGTTGTTAAGTACAGATTATTTAGAAAATAAAAGCTAATAAATTTATAAAAAAATTCAACATGTTAAAATTAAATATTTATTAATTAATAAATAAAAAAAAGTTTCTTTTATAATTTCAAATAAATTAATATTAATTATTTTTTTTCAAAAGTTTTTATTAAATTATCTTAATAATTTTTTAAAACTATTTTAACAATAATTATTTGTATTATTAAATTATATAATAATCTTATCTAATTTATCAAATATTTTTTATTTAGTTTTAAATATTAATTAAACAATAATAATATTTATTAATATATATATATATACAGTTTGTCTAAAAAGTCTTTGGACAAATTATGACGCAAATCAAATAAGTGTAACTTTCTGCTTTAAGTTAAGTTTGACATAGTGTGACTTCTAAATATATTTAGGTGGGCTGACGCTTTTTTTTACTTTATAACAGGATGAGTTGTTACTACAGTT